ACAAGCTATAGCACAAACTTGTCACAAAATGAAAGTAAAACTGGTGATGTTTCACAACCTAATGAGCAAATAAGTGGTGGTGGTGCTACTGACTTTCTTGAAGACAATTAGCAAGCACAAACTTACAACATAGCACTGGGAAAGGATTAGTGTACCTTTGAGTATATTTAGAGATATTAAATAATCTGAAGAGTTAGCTTATACAGGTGGAATATTTGTCAGCCAAAAAAGGCAAGAGAATGACAATAGACTAGTCGATGTTCATTACAGTCTGTGATATTTGCAAATCAGAATTGAGACAAGCAGATCAAAGAGCATGCAGCTATGTGTATTGAGAACATTTTTTAAAAACTAAAAAATTGCAAATAAAGATTCTTTTCAGTTTCATAGGCACTCCCAAATTTGTCATAAAAAGTCAAAGGCAGAATTTAGGTTCAATTTTCCACAACCACCTATGAAGTCAACAAACATTTTATATCCCCTTGAGATAGATTTGTCTGAAACTGAGGTTAGAAAACATGAAGATAATTGGAAAAACATCAGGAAACATTTAAATGACATCAAGTAGGGCGAAGACATCTCATTTGATAAATTACTGACTAATCTCAGCTTACTGAACAAAACTACTATCCTGCTATCCGATCAAGGCTTTGTTCTCCTACCACATCATTGAAGAGGAATCCAGATGAAATAAGAGTAAACAACCATAATAGTGCCTGTCTGAGTGCATGGAGAGCAAATATGGATATACAATTTGTCCTAGATGTTTATACTTGTGCAATGAACATCATATTGTATATTTTTAAAGCACATAAGGGAATGAGTCAGCTTTTACTGAGGGAATGTGATGAGGCAAGGGAGGGCAATTCTAGTGTAAAACAACAAGTGAGAGACATTGGAAATGAATTTTTAAACAGTGTTTAAATCAGTGCTCAGGAAGCAGTTTACATAGTTCTTCAGCTACCAATGAGGAAAAGTTCCTGACAGGTGATTTTTATGAACACTGCACCTCCTGAGGGAGTTTAAAAGCTTCTAAAACCAAAGAATGAAATAGAAAAAATGGGTGATGAATCAGAAGTAGTTCATTCTAGTGGTCTGCTAAACAGGTATATGAAAAGACCTAGCAGCCTTGAAAATGTTACCTTAGCTGATTGGGCTGCATTGTATGATTCACCCCAAAAGCCTTTTGTCAAAAAGTCAAAAGATATTAACAAAGATAACCTCCCACTGGAAAGAGCAGATGATGAGGAAAATGATGATGAACTCACAGACTGTGCCAATGAGGCCATGCAAAATACAAAACAGCCAAAACCAAAGCAATGCCTAAAGCCCATATCAGAAGTTCATATCAGAAGTGTTTGGTTCAATGTGAAATCTCAAACTGAAAAACACTACTGTGAACTTTTTACTTCAACAGCCCTTAATATCAGGAGTGTATCCTTCTTTTAAAAGACAAAATAGATAAACAAATGGGGCAGTATGCTATCTGTGGTGAAGATCTAAATGAGATTGAGGAACAATTACACAGATCACACTAATGACCAATTTGATTCCATAGCACCAAACATACAAAATTTTGCACTGCAGGATGAAGCTATTGGCAATGGAGATTTACACCCTGATTTTAATGAAAATTATGACCTGTCCTGTGATGTAGGTATTCCTTCAACATCATTAAATAATGAACCACTGATATTGAATGAACTACCAGATGATGATTATCATCAAATGGTCCAGACTTAAAATAAAGACCAAAAAGAATTATTTTATCACATTTTGCACCAGATCAAAATGTCAGAAAGCCCCTTTTAGTGCTTTCTTGGTGGTGGAGCTGGTGTTGGCAAATCACACCTAACAAAGGCAACGTATCAGGCAGCCCCTGAAGTATTATAGTACTAATTACTGGTGATGATTTTCATCAAATCAAAGTTGTATTGTGAGGGCCAACTGGGAAAGCTGCCTATACCATTAAAGGTAATACTATTCACAGTGCAATTGTTGTTCCTGCCAATCAGTCATTGAAAAAATAACAAACAGCTTGATTCAAGTAGACTAAACACCTTATAAAGAACTCAATTTAGAGGAGTAAAATTAATTTTTGTAAATGAACTCTCAATGGTAGGAAACAGTATGTTTGCCATACAAATCAATAATAGGCTTAAAGATATTAAAGGTTGTAAAGATAATTTTGAAGGTGTCAGCATTATTGCTATTGGTGATTAGTTCCAGTTAGAACCTGTCATGGATGGTTATGTTTTTAGAGACCTCAAAAATTTATATTATGCAGTTGTTGCTCCTAATCTCTGGCAACAACACTTTACAATGTTTGAAGTTAATGAAATCATGGGTCAAAGAGAAAGCAAGTTCTTCGTTGAGCTGCCTAATAGGTTATTTATACAAAATGCAAAGGTAGATGAATTTAATGAAAGAGTTCACAATGCAGCAATAGGAAACAAACACAGAATTAAAGTTCAAGAAAATATTATCGGAGCTAACTCCGCTGAGCTAAGAGGAAAAATATTGCAACAAATACCTAATAATTCAAGAAAAACTAAACAGTTGGCTTGGAACCAATTATCTTGCTGAAGGTGAACTGGACTATTTCTGCACCCTATGTCCCTCTCCCCATGAAAAAAAACCTTGTCTATAAATAAAGTGCCATCTTAATGTGCATAATCATATATTATTTTCTAACGAATATAATATATTCATTATAGCTTCCCTTGCGAACTGAATTCCCAGTTTTCTGGGAATTCCTAGGAATTCCTAGGAACTCTCAAAAATTCCTAATTATGCAAATGACCCTTGCAAACTGAATTCCCAGTTTTCTGGGAATTTCTGGGAATTCCTAGGACTTCTCAAAAAATTCTCAACTATGCAAATTAACTCTGATTTAAAAAGCTTGGAATTTCTGGGAAAGGAAGACTCCAGTTTTGTGAGGACTTGGAATCCCTAGGAATTCCTAGGAATTCTCAGCTTTACAAACTACCTATAATTTAAGAAGTGTGGAACTCTTGGGAATTTCTAGGAATTGAATTTGAGGCAATTTTAATACCCTGAGGTCCACATAAATTCTAAGAAATTCTCAATACCTTGAATGTGAAGGTTTTAAGAAAAAGAGTAATTTCAGGGGCTTAAAACTTTGGCTCAATAAAAGGTATGCTATACAAAACTTACCAAGAGATATACATACATGTACATGTTTATAACTTAAAGATCATGATATTTATTATTCAAACTAAGTTTTAGTAAATCTTTACATTAATATGGATTTTCTCATAAACCAGCTGTCAGTTATGTTAAATGGAAATTGCCAACTTCCACAATAATTAACAATAATTACATTGTTATCTTACTTCCCTAACCTACATTACTGGTTGCCTTTGTTAGAAAACCTTGGAACAGTCAAGCTCAGTAGCCTCAAACGCTGTCAGAGACTTTTTGTTGACAATACTTTTAGTAGAAATTTCATGCCTTAGACAAACAAATTCAACACCTAATTAATCTTTCTTTTTTCATGATTGTTGTTGCTGCTTTTTTTCAGTTTTTTGCTCTATTTTCATGACTAATTGCTGTAATTTGTTTTGCTGTTTTTATTCTTACAAAACATTTTTGTAAGAGTTCCAATACTTGTGGATCATCCACACACTTTGCAAACATTTGGCATGCAGACAAGACAGAGGTAGTCAATGTTCCCTTTGAGGAAAAACACCTTTTATATGACGTCTTCAATTTACTTTATTTGAAACTCTGATCTGAAAATATTTGTCAACAAGACTTGTTAGTAGTGAGAAGTACCAACCAAGTTTCCTTTCATAACTTAATTTCTTAAATGTCCCAATCACTGGATCTCCCAAAAAATATTACATCTTTTTATTTTTGGTGCAAATTACAAGTCCTTCTTTATACAAAAATGATTATTATTGAAGTCACACTTCAATAATAACAGCTCTTAAGTTTACTTGTTGTTCTTCTCTGTCTGTTAGCTATCAACAAAATTGTTTTATACTTCGGGCAGAGCATAACTATTTGTGGACCAGAGTTCCAACGCACCTCTGTAATCGCATATAGCTACTCCTGTCTCTTGTACAAATGTTTCTCCTTTGTAAGACGCACTCTACTCTGTTGTCAATACTGCTTTAAGTTCAGTGGAAACGACTGACTGAGGAATCCAGATGGCGGTGTTGGAACGTGTTGCTGAACGCTTGCTACGGTCAAGCTTTGTAGATTTAGGTACTGGTACACTGGGATCAAGCTCGACTTTTTTAAGGTCTTCACTTAAAGAAATAAAATCATTAAAAAGGTCGCTAAAAAAGTTTTGTTGTCTAGCTGGGAAAAAAAAATTAACAGATTCTCGGAAACAGTTGGTATAGTTCCGATTTCACCGTCCGCTCGCTCTATCAGAAATGTAAAACGCGTAGGTTTCAAACGTTCGATACCTGTGCTTTAATAAAAGTTATATACATGTAAATGTTTTTTTTTCAATAGAGATCAACACAGATATTATTAATTCTTCAATTAAACTCGAAAAAGACAAAAAAACTAGCTGCCTCCAGCAAATCTCTGTAGGCTTTGTGAGTCAAGGTTCTAAGTTACTGTGGTTAATAAAGAGACCAGATTCGAGTGCATTTACAACAAACATTAGTAACTTAGCAAGTTTTTCTCTATTTAAGTCCACTATCTGAGATAAACTTGAATCAGATAACTATAAACTCACTCGTTTTCCGTTTGACCGGCTCAACAACGATAGCCCCTACCTTTGCAACCTCTGAGGAAAGAAGCAACTAGCACGGTAAAATTGCCCTATAACTACTCGGCGAAAATCATCGTGCCTCGTTATACAGCTGATTCTTTCGATGCTGCCATCAAAAGTTAGCTTTTCGGTTGCTAAGAGAATTTCTCTACAGCAACGAAACTCCAGAGCACTGACCACGGCATCAGTGGACTGACATTCTCTATACTTAGGTTTATAGGTTCTTGCTCACACTTTAGTGCTGCCTTCAAAACAGACAATGATTTACTTAATCATTACCCAATGACTTGGCAACGGTGACTTAAACATGCAAGACCTAGATCTTCCAATGCTATTCTTATCACTTTTTTAAAATCAATTCCACTTTTTACTACACATCGAAAATGTTCCGATTCATTTGAAATGATGTACAGATCACCATTAGCCTTTTTATCTTGAGCTCTGAAACCATCGATAATGTGTTGCGGAATACGCACGTTTCCATACTTAAACTGTACAGCAACGTCTTCAAAAGACACCTCTCCATTGCAAACACGAGTTTTCAATATAAGTTGTTCATCGGCAGCAAGCTGTATTTCCCCTTCCAACGAGAATTCTTTTAGGTTTGGAACAGGGGAATACTTAATTGTGCCATCACTGTGCTTAATGATTAGAAATCCAATCAAAGGTGTTTTGCGGTGTTTGTGAAGCAGCTCCTCTTGTATGTCAGCGGGAACTTTAAACTCAGGGTCCCATATTTGAAGGTCACCCATCTGATACCTATCAGGCACCTTTCCATAACGAGCGAAACCTCTCAGTAAAACTACGGGAGGGGATTCAACTGAGAATTGTGACACCCGCACTAGCTGTTGGGTATTTTGAGCATAGACACTTTTAACTTCTGAAAAATTCCTTTGTGAATAATCCAGATCTCCTTGTCCGTCTCGCTGGTTACTGAAAGAAGGATCTGTCAACTTCCTGCCTCTGCTGCGCTCGGAGCCAATGTAGCCACCACGGTGTGAATCAATTTCCCTTTCTTGAACCGCTGTCAATTCAGAAGTGGCTTCATCGTTACGTGTAGGACTTCTGGGTTTCTGTGGATTTTGTAATTCTGGAGATGTTGCTTGAGATGGAAGTTCTGGTTTTGATGGTTGGTTTGGAGATAGCGACTGATGATGGAACTTTCGTCCTTTCTTGTTTGGATCAAAGTAATGCAACAGAGCTTCTTCGTGAATCGCTCGATGTTGTTTGTTCCAGGAAAAGATAAAGCTCTTTGTACCATCAAGATACTCTTTGCTGAATTGTGAGGAAACTTTTCTCTTCGTCCAACGTGAAATAACCTTTCGATTCTCTTCGTCGTCGCTCTCGTAATTGACGTCTCCCCCGATAACGATGATGACTTCTCCTCCTGTAGGCAAAGGAAATTCTAATGTAAAGCTTAAGAAGCGTAACAATGTTATCCCATGTAATATAATTTCCATTGTTTTGTCGCTGATTACTGTCGTTTTTATGACCAAAATGTAAAGAAACTTGCTCTCGTGTCAGACATACTCAATGCAAATTCCTCCCTGACCTCATGACCAGATTTAAAATATGAAACATTGCCCTTGATTGGCAAGGTGCATAAGGTTACAGCAGCCATCTTTTGTCAACTTGTCTACAAGTCATTTGATAGGAAATCACGAATCCATGGCCCACAAGAATTGCATAAAATACACTGGACATATGCGTCGACTTGCGTCACGCAATGGCCTTCCAGACCTCTTCGTCTCTATTTAGATTTTCCTCCATTTCTTTGTTTTGCAACCGTGGAATTCACGCTATTAATACATCACTTATCTACCAGAGGGTAAGAAAAACGCAACATATAATGGAGAGAAACACAATTTCTCTTGGTTCAAAAAAATAAATAAATAAATAAAAACAATAGATTCGCCTTCTGTTACGTAAACAATTTTCGAAAATAATGCTAGCTATTTCAGTGTCCCTTAAAATCGAGCGATAAAATGGCCAAGGAATTTCAGGTGGCTGAAGAAAGGCATTTGAACCTATTTTCGATTGAAGAGATAACTGCCGACTAAAGGCTTGCTTTGTCTGAGGTAAATTCTTTCTCCAATCCATTAAAATTTATTCAAGATGCCCTGACAGCTTTGGAAGACTCCATTATTGTTCAATGAATTGATCCTTTGAATAGCATTTCTCATTGCAGGCCAGTAGATTTAGTATTCCCTTAGCCATAATACATAAAAGCATCAAGACTTTAACGCATAGATCAAAGTCTATTTCCAATTATGTTCGTTTTCCCCTGAAAGTTGATGTTAGTTTGAATCATATATTTAATCCGGCAGTAAAATATAAGTTTGTCTTTATCAGTACTCACTCAACTTGAACGTGTTGCATCCAGATAAAAAATGCAAATAATTTACCGTATTTCCAGACCGGGGAAGAGGAATTGTTTTAGACTTAAAGCTACTGAAATTTCAAAAGACAAGATCAACCCCCTTTCGCCAAAAAGCCTTCACCTCAGAAAACGAAACAGAAACTTCAATTAGCAAACTCATTCCGAGTGTTTACGACTCTGACGCAGCTGTGTAAAAGTCTTCGCATTTTGCCACTCAGGGGAGCAACCGTCAACCTTAATCTACGCTTGTTTACTTTCACTTTCACGTCTGATGTCTAATGTGCCGTTGTTTAAGAAATATAGAAAAGGTTTGCACTAACTCCCCACTACCTTTCTCAAAGATAGTCCAGCTTGCCGAAAATGCGTGATTAAGAGTAGTGAAATGCGTTCGAAAAATGACTTTGAGTTAAATACTTCCGCTTCTCACCCGTCGCTTGTAGTAAAGCTCTGTATATCCTGGCGTAACCAATTCCTGCGTTGTCTTCGTTGATTGAGAGTCGAGATTCATTCGCATGAACCACGAAGAAGGCCATATCCATCTCTAGGGTTGGGATTTTGTCGACCATTTCAGACATTTGAGTAAGTCTGAATGAATGCCTCTCTGCAGGCTTAACATGGATGCTTTTAAATTTCTCCGGAAATTTCTTCTTCGTTTCCTCGAGCAATTTCTCAACAGGCTCTAGCTTGTAAGTGTTGTCACAGTTAAAAATATGAATTCGCTTTTTCGACTGGAACATGGTCTCTGTGTAGAACACAGGTACTGATGAAATTCTAGCAGATTTCATCTGAATGTCCAAATTTGCTTTAGTGAAGAATGGAACTGCGCAATATTTCCGAGAAAGCCTGTCACACAAATCCCCCCAAAAAAGTCACGCAACAATGCATACTCATAAGCGGTCGTAACACATTACCTGTCGCACAGAAACACATACACAAAACGGACTTGAACATGAAAAACAAAAAGTCAAAAATAGTTCTAGGTATGTAAACATTTCTTTCCACACCTACAATTTTTGCAATGCTGCTCAGTGAGGTCAGATTTTTTTATCGCAAACTTACAAAAATAGTTATTTTTAATTACATAATGTTTATGATCCTCAAATAAAATCATTCACCGAAAGTTTTTCCAGAGGAACGTCATTTCTGCTCTTTAGCTGTAAAATGATGTGAACAAGAGGACTGATACATAAAATACATTTTTAGGGTTGACGTTGGCGGGCTTTTCTGACAACTGAAGGCTAAAGTCGATGGTATACTTCTCATCTTATTAAGACCCTCGCTCAATAACTAACGGAGAGGCGGCTAACAAGGAAATATGTTAGCATCCAACGTAGCGTAGGGGCTGGTCAGATTTATCTGACGTTAAAGACTCTTTAAAATGGATCGAGGTGCTGGCCAACCTGAACATGTACGGCGTAAGAGAGTAGGGGGGGGGGGGGACAGGGGGGCGGGAGCCCGGGAGAACAGAGGGGGGGGGGGTAAGAGGGCGGGAAGCGGAATCTATATGAGGGCGGGAAGCGGGAGCAGAAATAAAGAAGGCAATAGTTTGTCGTTTATTGCTGGGCATTATTTAATCAAAAACACTTATCTTGCGAAGTTTTGAAATTTCCATTTAACATCTACCAATGCTCAAAAGAAAATTTTGGAAGCAAGAAAACGTAAATTTGTACTCGGGCTGGAAAAACAGCATTTACTCCTGTGAATTTGGAAATCCCTTCAATTCGATTACGTCATAGGTCATGGCCTGTAATAACTTGCATCGGGACCCAATAATCCCCCCGCCAAAACAAAGGCCAGAAAATGAACAAGAATGTTAAGTTTTGGTACAGTTTGAAAGTTAAACCCGGGTTCTTGATTCTCTTGATTAACCTGAAGACGGGAGTAACACAATGAAGTGTGGGAGTTGGGAGGCAATGGGGCACAAAACTACGGGAGGCGGGAGAACATGGTACGGGGAGTGGGAGACTCTGACCCCCCTGTCTCCCCCCACAAGAGAACGAGTGTAAACAGAAATTTGGAGATTTTATTTTTAATTTCATATTTCAAAACTACCCAAAGGAAATTTGACCTACAAAAGCGTTGCAGCAACAGGGTCCCAGACAGTCTATAGTAAAAGTGTAAGCTCACAGCTCTTCTGTTCCTTGATCTCAGGTGTTACAAATTTGTAAATTTAGGAAGGTAAATACATATTTATGCTGTGTTACATCTACAAGTATGAACATCACAACAAATGTTAAAATCAGATTCTTCGGTAATAGCTACGGTTATGTCTTTCGAACTTCGACTGTCACTCATTCCTGGGCAGCAACTTAATTTCAACACTGACTTATCTACAAAAATGTCTATTAAGTCCTTAAATTGTCTTCGAAGATAGATATGAAATTCTCCACGCAAATTCTGTTACTTCAGCCTATTACTTTACACGGAAATTTGCCCACCCGTCCGTCGATGATAATGTAATGAGGAATGAACAGCTTTCAGTTCCTTAACTGTACATCAACGTTATAGCCACGAGAGTCTTAAAGGTCATTATAAATAAGACGATTTCGCAATGTGTCCGAGAAAGTCTGTCGCTACATGAGTCACGCAATCCTAACAAACACTTGAAACTCTGACTGGTCCTACAAGAGGGTCTTAAAAAGACTAAATCTCTCATGGAATTTCTGTCGGTTGTTCCCGAAAAACGACCAAAAGGAACCTTGTGACAAAAAAATTCTCTTTCGGTTTCTAAACACCATTCTTAAATCCTCGGATAGCCATTTGCGATACGGCAAGTACTTGTTGAGGAAGTCGAAACAACCATGTTTCATAAGTACGCCTACATTCAATCAATTCTGTGAGCAAAGTAGAATGTCTTGAAACCATTTATGTGAGAAATTAAATCCGAAAAGGCTGATTGATTTCGATAAGCATTTCAAAAGGAAAATGAACGTAAAAGCTATCGACAACATCGACCGATTCAATGTCACATCACGGTAAATCTATATCAAACATAAATCTCATTACAAACAAATCAGATTGCTTGCTGACACCTAGGGCTAAGTCTTAAAGGGCATGTAAACCCAAAAATACATGTTTTTCTCATACTATGTAAAAAGTGGCGTAGAGAACGAATCTGAAATTCGTTTTGTCCAATTCGACTTATTTTAGGAGAAAATCGGCATTTTCAACTGAAATTCCATTTCCGGTAAAACAATAGCGAGAGTCGTGACGTAAGCGGTGGAACTAAAATATTGCGCAACACATATTCCCTAGTAGAACTGGTGTGGTAGCTCGTGTAAGTAGCGGTAGTTCGAAGATGTTTTTCAGAAGATAGCGACTCGAATGCCCTAAGCTTAGTATATGACGGCGATGGGGATGGTCTAGAATCTTTAGGAAAGTCTGGGCCACGTCCTTAACAATATGAGCTGCGTAGGGTTCACCGAAGCGATCCGCACGAACACAGTGTTGACAGCGATGCGACCTCCTCGGAAACTCAGACTGGTATCTAATTTACTGCGTGATTTATTTGTATTTGATATGAAAATCCAATAAAGCAAGGGCACAATCTAAAAGAATGCAACAAAAATTTTTTAAATCCGCTGAGCTTCCGAGGTTGTTTTATATAAAATTGTCAAAGGTGCGAGTGTGGAACTTGTCAACCAATGCCGACAACTCGTGAAAGAGTTTGTTGTACGGAAATCGGACAATTGTGGCAAAAAGTAGAGGAGCGAGGGTCTTAAACCCAGATAAGTTATATCACTGAGTATCCAGGTTTTTAGTCAATTTGCCTCGATTTCTGGGTGCTAGAGACGGCCTATTACACGTACAGGCAGCAGTAAGGCACAGAGAATCACACCGGAAACGAGTAAGCTAAATGTTTTCCGTTTCATCTGTTTCGTTACATTTTGAGATCGATTTGCTTGAGTTGTTTCTGTCATTGATTTAATAATACAGTACTACAGCTAGCTGTTTATAGTTCCGAATAATTTGCTTCTGGTAGGGCCTGAATTGTCGGTACAACACCAGGAAGAAAAATGACTGCTACAAACAACAGAATGTTCGAACGGCTCGACGAAATCGGCTATTTTCATTTGAACAAGTTTCACAAATTGTGGCTTCAAATTTGCGTCATTTGGAAATATTTGCCTTGTATGCTCGGTTTTGTTTGAATCAGTACAAAACTGGACGACACAACGCTTTACCATTATGAAAAAACTGAGTATATTGAAGCAAACTGTAAGTAAAAAAATCGTGACGAGACCGGCAAACAACGGCTGTGGAAAAGACTCCGTGTCTCACGCGATTATTAAACGAAACTTTGTAGGTTCCACCCGTGACGTCACAAGAAAGATGGCGCCATTCAAAATGGTGAATGTTTCGAATTTGGAAGAGCTTTTTCAAAGTGAAAATGGACTTTTGAGAAAAAACGAATGGCACCTTTGGTGTACTTGATATATTTACTAAACATCTATGTGAAAAGAAAATGAACGTTTTTTGGGTTTACATGCCCTTTAAGGCATATTGGCTCTCGCTGTTAGTCGTTCAAACTTTTGTTACACCTCTAAAACAAAAAAAATATTTACACAATTTTAGACCGTCGATTCCCCGACTGTGGCTGAAATTCATTCTTTGCTATTCTTATTACTTTTTCAAAATTATTTGGACCTTTTACTACACATCGAAAATTCCCTGAGTTATCTGAAATAACGTACAAGTCACCATTAGGCTTTTTGGCATCTTCTGCTCTGAAACCATCGATAATGTGTTTTGGGATACACTTGATTCCATACTTGAACTGTACATCAGCCTCTTCAAAAGACACCTCTCCATTGTAAACACGAGTTTTCAATATGAGTTGCTCATTGGCAGCAAGCTGTATTTCCCCGTTCAACGAGGATTCTTTTAGGTTTGGAACAGTGGAATGATTAATTGTGCCATCACTGTGCATAATGATTAGCAATCCAATCACAGGTGTTTCGCAGTGTTTGCGAAGCAGCTCCTCTTTTATGTCAGCAGGAACTTTAAACCTGGGGTCCCATATTTGAAGGTCTCTTGTCTGATCAGGTACCTCTCCATAACGAGCGAAACCTCTCAGTAAAACAACGGGAGGGGGTTTAACTGAGAATTGTGACGCCCATACCAGCTGCGGGGGATTTTGAGTCATTTTTTCATGAATGCTTTTCCTTTCTGCAGAATACCCTTTTAGAGACACTTCTCTTGACGTGTGTGAAGCGTATGCCTCTGTTTCTAGAGAGCCCCTTGAACGGACCATCTGTTTATTTGGTATGAAAGGTGTCACGGGAGGCGTCAACAGTTCGACCATGATATCTTCATTCACGGCCAGTTCTCCATTGTTCACCTCCACAACAAACACCTTTTCTATTCCACTGATTTGCGCGATGAAATCGTTGTATGTACTGCCGCCCTTCACTGATGAATGGAAGGGATTGCGATGGCAAACCAAGAGAATGACCCTTAGGGCTGTTTAAAAAGAGAGTGCGAAAGAATTTAAGTTCACATTACGATCGCTTCGGTATATTTCACTATAGTTTAGAGAATGTTAAAAATTCACGACTATTGCATGCATTTCTTATCTCCTACCAATTTAGTTGAAATTTAATTCTTGTAAAGAATTTAGCTCGAGTGGTTCGAATATGCATGAAAAGCACCAGCAAGCCAGTAGACAGCTGACACTGGATTCGTGTTAGTCGTATTTCGGAGGACTAATTCAAATTCTATAGTCTAGAACGGGCTAAGAGAGATTAATTTTTTTTGTTTCAACAAAATTGTTGATACTGAGCAGCTCGCCAAATAAACTGAGGTGATCTGACTTGACGACAAAACGATTACAGCAGGAGAAAGTAGGAAAATAATAAAGCAAGAGGTTTTAAATATTTGATGATATAAAGATTGTGACAAAAGACTGCATAATCACTGCAGGCACTTCGATTACTTACCAACTTTATCCGTTATATTTTCTACAAGTCGTTGACATTCCATCCATCTTTGATTGCCATAAGAATCCGTTGTTGTAGAACCGTCCATGACCAGCACAAAGAATTTGAGGTGATTGAACCTCAGAAACACTTCGACGTTCTGGCTTTGAAGGTTGTCAACAAAAGGTTCTTCTGACAAGTTCAGGCTGGGACGAATTTTGTTAAAAACTTTTTTCGCATCTTCTAAGGACTCGCGTGATACATTACAGCCAAGAATTGCCAAATCTAAGGGGCGAAACATATATTTTAACAGTTTCTTAACTATGCGAGGTACGGCTGACGGTTACCACGTTGGACACGAAGTCAACAGAATTTCATTGGTCAATGAAATATGGAAAAGTCAAACTCCAGCTAAGTACTAGTTTATCCACAGGCGTCCCAAGCTCCAGCTGCGAGATGATCATCTTGCGCAATAACAGTCATGGCGGAATTATAAGAGTTTGTATGGGAATATTTACGACCGCTTTAAGGAATAAAAAAAAATGCGTCAAATTTTCAATAAAAAATACCTCACCTTACTTCCAAAGTGTATCGTTAGCGATCTGACCACTTACTTTGATGAAAAGAGCCCATTTTAGCAAGTTGTCCATTTCGAGGTTTTCAACGTACATAAGAAAGGGCTTTTCCATGACTGTTATTGCGCAAGATGATCTTTTCACAGCTGGAGCTTGGGCCGCCTGTGATTTATCTACATAGTTATGGCGTTTATAGTCGATGGCGAGGATAGTTGTTTTACATAAATTAAAAAGAAACAAGTGTTGCACAATTGTGAGACTTAAGTTATTAGCTTAAGAGCAGCGGGTAATCATGATTATATATCTCTCGTAAATGTGCCAACTTCAGATTTTTGTGTGTATGTGAAAAAATCCTCCCCTATACTGTTATTGACGTTAGTTCTAACCTTTGATTTCTCCAGAGACTGACGGCAGGGTTTCTCCAGCACCATCACTCTGATTACTGAATGAAGGTCCTACCAACTTCCTATGTCTGCCACAGCACTGAGCACTATTGACACCAAAACCGTAAGTATCAGTCTGCCTTTCTTTTACCGCTTTTACTGCAAAGGTGGCTTCATTGCGACGCGAGGAACTTTTGAGTGTGCATGTAGGGGACTTTTGGATTTTCGGTCGCTGCGGAATTTCTAATTCAGTAAATGCTGCTCGCAATTTAAGTTCAGGTTTTGATTCTTTGTTTGAAAACTGCGGCTGATAGTAGAACTTCTGTCCTTTCTTTTTTGGGTCAAAGTGATGCAGTAGTGCTTGTTCGTGAATCACTCGATGTTGTTTGTTCCAAGAAAAGATGAAGCTCTTTCTACCATCAAGACACTCTTCGCCGAACTGTGAGGAAACTTTCTTCTTCGCCCAACGTGAAATAACCTCTCGATTCTCTTCGTCATCACCTTTGTAGTTGTCATCTCCCCCGATAACGATGATGACATCTTCCCCTTTGGATAAAGCAGATTCAAATGTAACTATGCTCTAGAGCATTATCTAATGGATAATAACTGAGGCTCACAGCAATATTAGATATAGTGCAGGCAGCTGGGGACGCAGTATTTATCTATAAAATACCAATGTTATCCTGATCGTAAGCGGGTCTGTAGCCGCTTTTGTTAGACAAGCTAACTGCTGACCATCATAAAACATAACCATACGATACTTGCTCCGGTGTCCAACATACTTAACCGAAATTCGCGTAACATGTCAGTAAATACCTATGGCGTTATTCTAACAAAAAAAATTGATACATGGTCATTTGAAGATGTAGAAATTTTCTTCTCGTGTTCAACTCAACACCGCACGTGTGAGGGCAGTGAACAAGTTAGATATCGAGTTGAACACGAGAAGAGAAATACCATATCTGGGCGCGCTTATGCATTATCCTCTATTGAGTTTTCATTTCTTTTGACTTTTTGTTTGCTGCTCACTAAAACACTACCACACTAAAACGGTCATTTACTAGTCAGTTGCACCAAGTTAAACAGCACATTTGCATTTTCATGAGGAATCCTCAAATACTAGCGATTAGGAAGCCTGTGATAGACCCGACATGTGCGATTTGAGTCCCTCCAGACAGGTGTTACTAAACTATGGATCAGAACCTCCGGAACCCATAATATTTAAGTAAGAGGGAGTGATCAGATAAAATAAAAACTAAAAAGATCTAAACGCTGTCTAAATTTCGTTTCGGGTTTAAAGAAGAATACTGTAAAAGAAAATATGTTTTGATTTTCCTTAACTTCCAACTTTAATTGTGGCGACATTCACAGCACCAGTTCAAGAGTATGTAACGTCATTAGAAGCATTCAGCAGTCACCTACCCTGACCTCTAACAGTGTAAGAAACCACGAAATCCGAATGACGCCTAATCCGAAGGCTCTCAGCAAACCCTCAGGCTGGAATTCATAGTACAATACTCCTGGAATGAGGAACACGTGCGTAAAGTAACATTATCGCCCGTGGAGCTTGATCGGGGCGTCTGGGGCGAATTTTCAGCGTTTGCTTCCAGTAAATTCATTCGGTTGGCGTTAATCACAGACGTATCTTGGAAAGGACTATGTAGAGGGCGAGGCAGATGAACTAAAACCTAGCCAAATTGACCTAAATAAGCCCCAAAAAATTCACACGATGCTAAAGAACAACTACTTGAGCGGGGTAAATTTGTCCATATTCAAGAATAGTCCAGAACTTTTTAAAGTTGAGAGTGCGACTGTCAATTTCTATGCAAATCCTTATATTTCACTCATTGCGTAACGTGAACATATTTGCATATTCACAGATCCTTACTGTGAGAGCTTGGGGTTCCTGTGGTTGGACGTCAGGTTAAAGAAACACATATTTTTCTTACATGGTAATCTTCTTTGTACCCGAAAACGAAATCTCGAACAGTGTTAAGGTGTTTTTAGTTTTGATTTTATTTCATTATCATTTTTCTGACAAAAAGTTAATGGTTCCGCAGGTTCCATTGGTTCAATTACACTTATAACACCCTTCTCATGCTTGATGTATTGTTTTTTTTTAGAGGTTAGTGAGACAAACTACAGCCTTTGAAGTGGTTACTGAGCTGACCTGCATAAACAGAGGGGAGTAACTGAACAACTTATGATGAAGGTAATGAGCACTGCAGAAAGCTGTTTTGAAGGTGAAGAGGATGGAAACTACTTAAGAGCTTCCAAATACTTTGTAGGTAGACTTCAGTGGGAGAGCAGGCAAATAAAAAAAAAAATTAAAAAAAAACTTGATATGGTTTACCCTATAAAGGCTGACCACCAGAGCTAAAAAGAAAATCCTTCCCAGGGTTGATGGGGAACCTTCCCTGAGATGCCCATCCACTGAGAATATTCCAGGGTGGGCAATAATGCAATAAAAAACTCATATTGTTTTGGTAATTAATCGGCTTAATAATGTACAATCTATCCAGATTAATACATAACAAGAAAAACAACAACAACAATCAAAGTGCTCTGTGAGAAAACTCGTGAACTGACAGATGACTTACATGATTTTTTGGATTATGTTTAATGTAATCTGGTTTAAGGAATTTTATGGTTGATTGTCACATTTAGAGTACGAGCAGTAGTTCAGTGTTCGCTAATGTAGAAACAAAGTTACGTTGGGATAAGAAGGCATTACAATTGAAATAATCATGCAATTACATTTGACAAGGGTGGATGAAGTCATGTGTTTTAAATATATATCATTTTTGTTTCTGGTTCAAAAGAAAAGGTTGAAAGTAAATGTGGGTGAAAAGTGAAATTTATTGTCTATCAATGTAAATAATGGAAAATCAAGGCAATGCTGTTCCAATGAAAACATTACTGATTCCCTCTTTATCAAATGAGACAAAACGAGAACGAGTTTTGAGTGATATAACTAAACCCAGACTGCCACCGTCATTTTGGATTTCCCCCGGGTAGATTTTGGTCACGTGCTAGGCAACGTATAATCAAGAAAAAGATAGAATTTCATTTCAGGCTTATCAATTTTGTGGTGTATAACTTTCGCATTTTAGTACGTAATATTTATTTTGAATCTTCATATTGTCTTGAAACTTAAAAGAAAATTGTTCTTTAAAATTTATTGAAAATCGGTAGCCAAAATTATTTGTTTAGGTGCATTTGATTTTCATGTTAACCTGTAATTTCGTCAGTCGCCGGCACCTTCCGTGGCTTAACAAAAAAACACACGATACGAAATGTAATAATCGATTTTGTCCCCAATCTCACGCCATTACATAAAAAGCTTTTGAACACCAGTAAACTCCGAGCGCTTCGGAGTAAGTGACATTTTAAATGAATCTTCGGATTGTTTTCAAGTTCAAGGATTGTAAATTACAATTTTATGAAAAACGAAGGTTGTTCTCTTATTTCAGTGTGAATCCTCGCACGCC